TTATTTGAGAATTTATTTTTTATTTCAACTAACCATTTATGTTTCGTTTATAACATATGTTTAAAGTTAAATATGTTACATATGTTAAAGATAAATAAAAAAGGTAAAAAAATGAATACTTTTTGTTGTTTTGTAATCGTTATAACATTGCTGAAAATGTCAATACAAAGAGTTTTATTTTATAATTAATAATGTCTATAAGTGACTTGCTGTCAAAATAATCAACACAAGCTTCTATGGAAAATAAGTTAGCTACGAGTCCATAATACTATAATTCTATAGTTCATAATAACAAGACAAAAATAAATTAATATTTTCCATGTGGACTAAGTACATCAAATAGATTAACAATGATATGCATGAAAAACGAAAATAAATTACTGCTTTCCATACTAAATTGAAAATTTTTAATTGAAAATGTTACAATTATTCTATACCTATCATTATTATCAATTTTTAAAAACATATTATAAAATATGAAAAATTTTATTCATTTACGAAAAGGATAAAAAACTTGGAATCATTGGTCAAGTAATTATACTGTAATTTGACATGTTATACACACTTCAGTTATAAATAATGAAAATGTATATCAATTTGTTTATAAATAAAATCAAAATTATGAATTTTACCTGTTTACTATAAATACAAAAATAATACATTATAATGCGATATACATTTAATATCATTGCTTATTAATTTCATTTTTCACTTTCTTTTGTATGATTACTTTCATTTCTTTAATGTTATATTTACAAATTTGCAATATATATTTAAGAAAATATAAATTGCCATTATTTACATAGTATGAAAATTATTGTCTGCAGCCGCTTTTTTTCTAACAATTTAAATATTGGCGGTTCGCCTCCCCAGAACATGGCGACGTAACACGTGACCGTCGGACACCACATCAAAGGAACCGATACGGAGTGACGCTACTGGTTATACTTATACTGTGATGATATTTAGCTACGGAGACGGAAAGGATTATGTATTACCTTTATTCTGATCTTTTATTAAATGACAATTTGTATCTCATTACTTACTATTCATTTACATATACAGAGTGTCCCAAAAATGTCCTCCGACCCGGAAATGTGGCACTCGGGGGGTGAATTGGAACAACTTTTTCCTTAGCAAAAATTTAAACTGAGGCTTCGTTTACGAGATATTAACGAAAAACCGCGACCAATCAGAGCGCGAGTTTGCCAGCCGAGTTCCCGCGCTAGCGGTGGCTACGC